GATGATTTCAGAGCAAGATGACACGTCCATGTGCTTGCTAGCCCGTGTTAGCTCCCCACACATCTGCACGGGCTTGCTAGCCCAGGTTAGCTCCCCACACATCCGCACATTTCTGCTAGCCCACATCAGTGCACCACACATGTACTTGTCATGGACCAAGTCAGCCCAGAGGTCCCGTGCGGCACAGAGCTGAGTTTCCGCCCAGGATTTCCCAGGCAGGAATAACGATCCCTAAGGAGATGGGAAATTATCCGGTGCTGCCTTGGCTGGAGCTCCCGCCGTGGCGCGCGCTCCCCTTGCTCGCTTCCTGCCACTTTGTTGTGCGTCCAGAGGCACTCTCGGCACAAAACCGCGCTCTGTGTTTATTTATAGCAAGAGGCCAGTGCTAAGCGGGACTTCAAAGCCGCTGTGCCCTCCTAGGCACTTCACAAGGACCGGCCTTCCTGCGAGATAACCCTGGCCCCGGCCGCCGCAGGGGGACACGGCCGGAYGGCCACGCACGGATGTAGCACGGAGGGCTCCGGATCAGCAGGTCTGGCTGGGTGCACCCCAGAGCTGGCCACAGCACCCAGCACACATCCCTTTGAAAATCAGGTAGTGTGGCCACGCTGTCTCTTAACCCTCATTTTGGTGACTGTCAACCAAGTCATTCCTGGGAGAGCCCAGCGGGSATCTGCAGGCAGCTCCACAGGGAGGATTTAGACATAGAGGAACCAGGTAACGCTGCAGCCAGGAGCGCTGGTGCCGCGGGGCAGGACTTCAGCACTGCACTGGGAGCACTGAGGATGCAGGAAACTGGGATCACAGCAGCAGAGAGGTCATAAATCCCTGGGAAATAGAGGAAATCCTGGGGCTGCTCACAAGATAACTTGTCTTCTACTAACAAGGGACATGTGCACTTTATCTGGGCCCTGACAAGGTGTCAAGTGCCTGTTTCCACTCATTGGTGACAGAACATAGAGACCTGGGACAGCAGAAGTGCCAGAGCCAAAGCAGGCACATCCAAGTAGCTAAACAGGCTCCATACACAGTAACAGAGACACAAGGCTGGCACGGGAAGGAGCTGGGCGCCTCACCTGGACCGTGGCACCGYGCCGCCCCTCCGTGCCGCTCTGGATCGGGTGGACCCCAAAGCACGGCATGACAGAACCGTGGTACCTGGGGKGCACAGGAGATGTTAGGGACACGTAAGCAGGTGTATCAGCAATATTACCTCACCCAGGCACTGCAGGCAAAACCCATTTGGTTCGGTTTTCACCGTTGCTTTGGTGGGACATCAGGTCCACCCCCACGGTTTGCCACAGAAGTCGCTTGCTCTTCACKTAACAGCCCCTTGATAGCAAGGCAGACTTCTGTGCGTGCCACTCGCCTGCATTTTTTTTCAACTTTGTCCTAAGTTTTCCCATGCCATCTGCACACTCCTCACATGATGAGTGCTCCACGCGCCAGTGGCTCTGTGCAATGAAGCCTCCTGCAGCAGCTAACCCAAATATCAGCACCACGCGTCATGCTGCGTCCTGGGGGAGACAGGAGCTACATCTCTGGTATTCCTCCAGGCTCCTCATCCTCATGCCTCAGGCTGCTCCCCATGGAGCACAGCCCTGAGCATTAGGAGAAACACATTAATTCCTAATTCAGGCATGGTTTCATCAGAACCATGGCCTCCCAGCCACATTTGTTAATCGTGGCAGGCCCAAAATTGCCAGGTCTGAAGGGATTTCATGCCTGYGCCCCACTAACTCACCTTGTTAGAGAAACCAGCCCCAGCACAGGACATGAATGGATGGCTAACCACCTCCGCCARAGGAAAATGTTGAGACAACAGAGTGCTATAGCAACCTGAACCCTCTCTTTGATCTCAGCTGTATCATTGTGCTGCATATAGAATGCAAAGAGTAGAATAACAAACCTTTCTGCCAAGCCAATAACTTTCTCAAATTCATTTTCCTGCTCTGTGACGGAAACAAAAGCTTGAACCCCAGCCTGCATAAATGAAAAAACAAACAAAAGCAGGAACTCATTAGCGATGAAAGTTGCATTTCCATCTAATTATTTATTTGTTTCTGCTTCTAAAGAGCCTATCTATGCATTGTGTAGGAGTCTGCTGGAAGCACCTTCAGTAAAAGTCTTTGGTCAATTTGTTTAAACTCTTATCACAATAAACAGCAGGATGAAAGAGTCTGTCACCAACTTGGCCTTCCCACCATCTCTTCAGTTGTTCCCATGATTAAAAATCTTGAAAAAAAAATCCTCATGGATCCTCATGGTATGCCCTAGTATTCAACACATTCATGCCCTTGAGTCTACAAGTGCCTCAGAAGAAGCTCCAGACCAAGGGCCCTCAGTGAAGATGCTCCATTTCAGCACCTGAGCAAGCACAGTCGGAGCRAAGGACCCTCAGCTGTTTCTTCTGAACTCCGAGGTGTTTTCCAGGACCTAAGYAGTCCAAGCAACTTGCTCTGAACCTTGTAGCAGCTTTTACTACCCTCCGCACCCTCATGAGCCATATGGCCTTCGCTCCCCGCTACCTGCAGCCACGCACACAGCCTGACAAGGTGGCCAAAGGGCAGTGGCCACCAGCCATGAGGTGCAAAGAGCCTCAGGATAACCCCATCACTACACACTGGGCCTCTGCTTTGTCCCTTCGCACAGGCAAAGCAGTTTTTGAAGCTTTATGTGTGTGCAGGCTCTGCGCCTTGGGGCCTGGCAAGCACCTTCGCGCCGTTCCTGTCCTCCTGCACCCCGGCCCGTTGACCACCCGCCTGGAGCRGTGGCTCCTGCGAGCCCTGGCGCGCGTGGAAGTGCCCAGCGCACCCTGCACATCTGCGAGCTACAGTTTAGGCCTGGAAAGAACCAAGGGCTGAGGAGCTTTATTTTTTTTTTCCTGCAGGGGAAAGGAAACTGCCTGTCTGCTCCGTCAGCTGGGCTGGCAGCATGGGGACAAGGCGAGTCCCATGCTGCRGGGTCAATGCATGCAGCAGCGTGGCAGCACCATTAATAACGAATAACAACAAGCGAGGTGCCTCAAAGGTATCAAGGAATCATGTGAAAGAAAGCACAAACCTTTCTGGATTTTTCTATCACCTCATGTACATCCTGCAAGACAAAAAGACATAAGCTGTCACTCAGAGGACCAACAGTCCTGCTGCTTGTAGCCTTCAAGGGAAGGTGGTGGCTGAAGATGACACGTGGGAGCTCAGGAGTGCTCATAAAGCTGCAGGCTACAGACCCGCTGCGCCACCGGGCAGCTTGTTTAGCACAGTGAGAAGTCCAGCTTCCYGTGACGAGGAAAAGCTCGAGCCGCGCTGCCTGCTGCCGGCAGYAGCACGGGCACCAGCGACACGAAACCCGCGGCAGCCGCACGGCTTCTGCCCCCTGCCTGATTCAGCAGCGCCAGCATGGAGCCGGGTGGCACGGCAGTTCCTTTCTCCGGAACCCTTAGGGCCCTGCGGCCCTGACTCAACTCCCCAGCGGAGGCAGAGGCAGCCGGGCCCGGGGGGCAGCCCCATGCGGCGCAGGGCCCCGCTGTGGGCAGGCGGGTGGGCGARCGGGAGCTGCGCTAAGGCAAAGGGCGGCACGGCCGTCACCGTCGCTGTCCCCATCGCCTTCCACATACCTGGCTGAACTCCTGCGCAGCCAGGTGGCAGTGGCAGTCGATGAAGCCTCCTCCGTCCATGCTCCTGACACCGAGGGCCCGGGAGCACCGCAGAGTGGCTCCAGGCAGGGAGCTGCAGCTCCCGCCRCCTCCGCCCTGCCGGCCGCGGCCAAAGTGGGCGGCGAGCGCGGCTTGGAAATCATTATTTTGCCACGTGTGCTGAGGCTGCTCCCGCTCAGGCCCAACACAAGCCAGCTGCAGAGAGGGATTCTGAGCAGTGAATCCCCGATATGTCCACACGGACAGAACTGCCGAAGGATCTACTTCCTCGATGCCGGCAATGCAGGGCTGGACTCGGCAGCGGGGCATGTGCCTCACTTTGCTTTCGCTGGGGCATCTCTGTACATCACTGCATCCCCACGTGCACTGCGAGGCACAGCCAGCCTGCATCACCTTTAAGGTTACCTGGTATCACCTCTTTAGCTAAACTCCTGTGACAACACAACTAATGACGATTAAATAAATCGCATTACTGTTCTTAAGAGTGTTGCACACCTGTTTGCTAGCACCACCTGGAGGCAAGTTGTRTTTTCCACCCAGTTTAGTGAAAAATGAAAGAGCCTATAGGTCCAGGATAACTAAAGGCTCTAACTATTCTGGGTCAAACAGCCAGCAGAGATTCAGGTGTTTGCTGAACATCTGGTTACTATAATACAGGCTTACAGAAAGACCTACATCAATATGTTTGCTCAAGTTCAGGAACGTGTGTTTAAGCTTAGAGGCTAATTCTAGGTAAAAGTCAGAACAACACAGCTTCTCTGCAAAAGCGAGGGAGATAAAACCCTCTGGCAATTCCATGAAATCAGGGAAGAAAACATGTTGGAAAGCCAAATGCCCAGGATGAGTGTCACATATTGCAAGCTTTTCCTCCTGCGAGTTGAAACTTTCTCCTGTTGAATCTTTCTTCAAATAGAGGGGAAAGAAGGAAGGAAAACAAACAAAACACCCTTCTTCCTGAGCTCTAAGACAAGAGTATCTTTAATTTCCTAAATTACTTGTAGTAAGGAACCCTGTAGCCCTATTTCCAAGCCAGGTCTGTTCCCTCCTGTTCCACCCCCAAAAAGGTATGAATCTTCACCAGATAATTTCAGCAAAGTGTTTTATTAAACATATCCAAAAGGCGCAAGAGGTAAAACACCTCACCAGTAAGGAAGGAAGGAAGAAGTTGACCTGAAAAATCATGCAACTACCAGAGACCTAGAAGAGACTTACCTGAATCCTAAAGCCAGATGCCTTTGATCYTGCCATGTTTGTATGCTGCATTACATGATGGTCACAGACAAAAATTAAAACTCTCCCTGTATTTCCTTCATTGATCCAGTAACCTCCCCAGAAAGAAGTCTCCTGTTCTTTAGCTGACCCTCAGAACAATTCACCTTCATAACTTATTTGGCTCATTGCTGTTTTACAGTCAAGAAAATGTTGGTGTTTCAACAGGTTCACATCCACACAGACCCCGTGAGGCAGCAGAGCATTCAGTTTTTAGGCCATTGGCCAATGTATCTCAATTTACAGCTTCAAGGCAGGCATCCAATGTGCCTGTACAGCAGAGAGGCACCTCCAGAATCTCACAAAACTGGGGATTGCCTACCTCTCACATCTGATTGCTCCTGATATGGAGCAGTCAGAAGAGTTAAACAGCAASAACAGAAAATTCTTGAAATAGGAATGAACTTAAGGCTCCTCTTTCTCAGACTAGTTACAACTTCTTTCTAACCCATAATTTACCTATATAAAATAGAATATGGTTCTAAAAGGAAACAAAACAAAGATCAGAACCTTCTCAAAATAGCACAGATYTTGTCTTCAACACATCTTCTGGAGAAGATGACCTGGCTCACCTTGAACGTAGAAAAGAGCGAAATCTAATGATCTCACTCCAGGAGAAAGCAAGTTCTGAGCTACTGCACACAGGGGAAGCGGAGGAAGGAGTCGAAGGGCTGCAGCTCTTCTTCCAAATCCTTTGAAGGAAACTGGAGCTGTGCTTCTGCACTGCTCTCAGAGCTGAAGCAACAAAATGCACCAAAAACAYCTCGTCCAGCAGAGCTTCTCAAGGGGCTCAGGCAGGGATGTGTCCCGGGGATTACGCACTGTAAAGACGTGCTAACCGGCTGACTTCCCTACGTGCACAAAGGCAGAAACCGAGGGATGAGGATGACGTTGAGCACTGAGCATTAGCCATACCCCAGGCTAGGAGCAGCAGACAAGCACTCTGAAAAAATACACTTTACATTATCCAAATTTTGTGCTGCTCTTCTTTACGTTCATTCAGGAAGATGACAGATGGAAATGATCCAACTTTAGCCCATGTTTAACATGACAATGATGTGCAAGAACAATATATTCAAGAAATACACAATATAGACCACAGCACGCAACTATGCAACAGATTTCTTGGACTCTCCTACAGCAAAACTCCACTTTGAGACAGAACGTGTGTTGGTTTTATTTATGAGGCCATAAACAGCRGTTTCTGTGACGTAACTTATTTCAGGTTTTATGTAATGCTAAGCCTATAAGCGAAGAAAGTTCCGAAGTTTTGGAAATACCCTCAGCGCATTCTGTGTTGTCACTTCTATAACTTCTTCAACTGGGATTCCTTTAATTCTGGCAATACATTCGGCAGCTATGTAAATATTTTTTGGTTCATTTCTTTCCTGCAGTGCATAAAAAGAAAAAATTACAGATCCCTACAGACGACAATGTGTCGTCTGAGATCAGCTCTTTCTGACACAGTTTCAACKAGGTTGTGGCATCTACGACATTTATCTATCCCCCATCTCTCAGTCACAGGAATGCTACCCCTTCAGGTGTTTCTTTGACCTCTTCAGTGAGGAAATTTCACTTGGAAATTCCTTTTGTCTCTCTTCTCCGATTACATTTCCCTCCACCAAGAGCTAGCCTCCATATATATAAATACATATATATATATGTGTGTGTGTATATATATACATATATATATAGCTTTATATACGTATTTATAAAAAGAACTCAACCCACAATTTACCTGTTTTACAGGCCCCAGAACAGGAGAGTCACTTTCTAAGCATATATTTTCCAGAGGTAAGAGTTTCACAAGTTTCTGGTTCTTGAAGAAAATAAAGATATCTATTATATGTCCTGTTCATTTAGACATGGGGAAAAAATGCAAGATGAAAGGATAATGTTCTTCATTTAAAAGCAATGTCTAAAGACCCAGGTGCCACTGACAGCTTTTGATCAACAATTTCAGAACAGAAGCAAAAAATATCAGGAGCTGCTCAAGAAGTCTTTCAAAAAAAACGGGTAATCTTGTCCTTTCTACTCTCAGTAATAGCACTATTAATAACTAATAGTTAAAGTACTGTTTCCTGTGYTTACTGGATGCACTGTTATTTATTAAATAAGGTAATTATATTGCACAAAACACCTTATGCTTGCAGTTACCAATGCAATTTTGTTACTTTTCCATACATTTATTTGTGTATCTTTTCCTGTTGTTTTTTTCCTTAACCCTATTTTACTTTTTTTTTTTTCTCTCCAATTCCTATCCCCATCCTTGTCTATGCTTAGCCTTCATGACTCCTGTGTTTGAAGCATGCCTTTTCCTTTCTTCCATTTAAGCTTACATAAAGCTTAAACTGCTGATAGTGCAGTCCATCCTGCACTATCCCCCAGAGGGAGAATTTAGCACAGCTTGCCACAGCTCAGAACAGAAATCACAAGGGCATTCTCTCAAAGAGAAGAGAAAAGAGAAGGGTAAATAAGGCCAACACAAGTAACTTAGCTGCCTTTCCCCTTCAGCATGGCATATGCAAACTACTTCCTTTCTTTAAAAAAAAAAAATAAAATAAAATAAAATAAAATAAAGAAGTCTCTAACTTAGCCAAATATGAACACAATTTCTTTTGGGGATGGATGTGTAAAACTATGGTATGACTGCCATATAAATCATTTTTTTTTTCAAATGTCAAGTCTGTACTAAAAGCAGTGCAGTGATACAAATTTCCAAAGTTCTCCAGAATGCACCAAAACAAGAAAAAAGAGTCCCATTTCCCCAGAAATAATTGAACTGTTTTAGCTAGAATTTCCCTCTGAATGTCTAGCTGTGGCAAAAAACCCCGAATGTTATAATGTGCAATAGTATAAGCAACTGAAAGCAGGATCTTCTATCAACCAGTGTCTGGTGAGGTTAACTATAGGCAAGTACTGCAATTACCACTTCAAAACGCGCAGACATAAAAAAAAAAAAAAAAAACCAAAAAAAAAAAAAAAAAAAGACTTTTGAGCTATACCACAAAAATGTAATGTACCACAAAAATGTAATGTTTTCATCCTACATAAGCTGAGCTCTATTAGCTGAAATCATCGATCACCAAGACAAAGCATTCCCCTTTAAGTGTTACCTGCTCATTCCTTATAACAGAAGGCGGGATGGAGAAGAAATATCCAGATTTCACCCCTTCCATTGCTACAGATGGCTTCCCATCGAATGCATGGAGTAACACGTTCTCAGCACCTCAGAGGATACAGCCAAAGCAATTCATTAACAGTGTTTACTGTAGGTCTGCAACATCAGCTTCCAAGGGGATGTTGATCCCACCTTTGAACCACTCCTCCCAAGTCTGATGTACTCAAAATGGCAAGAGGACATGGCAAAACCAAAGAAGTTCTACTGATGAATGCAGCGAAGCAGAAAGTGCACTAAAAACATACCTTGTTCCTGTAAGAGACGAATGGTTGGCCTTCCGGCTGAGTAGGAATGAACATTTCTGCAAAGCAAGAAGGAATGAGGGAATTTCCCTCACGTACAAACACAGATGAACTGGCAGCAGCTTGGGAAGAATTAATCTGTCTCACATCTCTTAGTAGGAAAGAATTTTACAGACATATAGACAAATCGTTTTAGCTACTGTGAAGATACAGCAATAACCCAGCAGGSACAGGACATGCAAAAAGACCACTCTATCCAAGTAGAAATACAGGGAAAACTTAATTAATAAATCTCAAACTGCAGACTGACAGGCTGAAGATGCCAGTGTAATCCCTGTAAGAAAAAGTCCCATGAGTTCTCAGCAATTACCAATCCTCTAAAAATATTGCCTTAGGTTTTTGAGACCTAGCAAATTTTTCTATTAGTATAAACAAAACCTACAAGGGCAAATCCAGTCTTTTTGCTAACTGAATCTGCTGGATCAAAACCTGTCTTTGTTCTTCTTTCTGTTCATCTGTGCTTGCATATCTGGGAGCGAAATCTAGTCCAACCTAGAATAAAAGTGAGAAAATGTCACATACCTACTGCTTGACTAAACCACAACACTGTATGAAAGCAAAACARGCCTCAAAGCTGCATGGCATTTAAAATGTACCAGGTAGAGAGTGCAATTAAAATGAGCTCAATTGTACTTTACTAATATCAGAAATTGTTAATAAAAGAATTCATACTCACACATCAGCCCCATTATCTTCAAACCAAATGTAAGACAAGAGATAACACATGGATATAGACAATGAATCACGAGGAACCAAAGCTAGATAAGTCCACAAGGTATGCTGAAATCAAAGCCTAGCCTAACTTTGTCAGGGCAGGACAGAGGAATAATCTGAAGGAGGATAAGCATGACTCTGTTTCACCGTGCCAGAGAATACATCAAAAGGCATCCAGGTACGTAAGAGAATCTATCACAATTTTGCAATTCTTCCTCCTAAATTTACACATTTAAGWAGCATTTATTTCCTAATAACCACAAAAAAAATGAAATTAAGCAAACACATGAAGAGACATAGGCAAAGTAATTAAAAATCAGATTCWGCACTTGTATTTACTACATGTTTTYAACTCTGGAGACATATGCTGCCAAAACCACAGCCCTTTACAAAGGAATCTACTCACTTCTCCAATTGCTACCAGCCTATCTTCATAGCGCTCTATAAGCGGCAGCGCAGCGTGCAGATCCTGCAAGAACAGAACACAGGAGCATCTCACCGGCCCCGTGAGACGGTGCAGCCTCAATCCAGCATCACCGTCACCCGGGACATCCCCTTGTCTCTGTTAACTCCAGCACCCTGAAGGCCGCTGCTGTGTGAGAGTCGAGTGGCCGGGGTGTTTAGACCCCGGGACTCCCCTGCTTTGCCCCAACACCCTTCCCCTCAGGCCGGTCTCTCCCCAGGAGCTGCAGTGACCCCAAACGCGCCCCCAAGGAAGGCCGCGGTCACGCGGCGGCCGACAGCTGCCCAAGTGCTTCAGGTTAAGGGYGCTCGCGCAGCCTTCCCACCTCCCTCGCCAGCAACGGGCGGCCGCAGATGCCCAGGCCTTATGTTGGATATAAACAAACCGCCCGCGGGGGACTTTGGGGGCCGGTTCAGCGCGGCATCTGCAGCACAGCTCAGCAGCTTCGGCGAGCAAATGTGCTCGAGGACGAAGGCAGACAAGCGGCTGCACSGAGAGCCCTGGGATGTGGCCCGCGCTGCTTTGCACGTTACATAAAGGACCGGAGCTCCCRGTCGGTTAGCCCACGTGCATTCCTTAAACAATGCCCCAGAACCACAGGCGCGTGGCGGGACAACACGGGCCCCAAGCAGCGTTTTCAGCGCTGACGGACCGGGGCGCCTCGGCTTCACCTGCAGCGTGACGCTGCGCCGCTCCTCCGGGGATACATCCTGGATGGGGTGAAGTCCCAGGCAGGGCAGGACGAACCCGGGGAACCTGGACACGAGAGACGGCCGAGGGCTGGCGGACGGGGCCGGCTGGGCTGGCAGGGGGCAGGACGCGGCGCTGGGGGTCCCTGCTACGGCCGCGGGCTCCGCAGCCTCCCCCTAACCAGGGCTAACGCCTTGTAAAGGGCGCCGGGCCCGGCTCGGGCGGCCTGAGCCGCGCGACGGGTGTGGGGCAGGGGGAACGGCTGCGTTTTGGGGGGGTGCCGGGCAGGGGGGCGCTGCCGTGGGCAGGGCGGCCGCTCCCACCTCTCGGCGAGCTCRGCGATCCGGTCGAAGTCCCCCACGTGCTCCGAGACCACGACGAGCGCCGTCACGGCCGCCTGCGACACACAGAGAGCCGCTGGCGCCGGGCGGGCAGGCAGGCAGGGGGCCGCGGCCGCCGCCATCGCGGCGCTACCTGCTGCGCCGCCCGCACCACGTCCGCCACGTCCTGCGGGGGAGACAAGGGGCGTCAGCGGCGGCCGGGCCGKGCCGGGCCGGGCCGTGCCGGGGCCGCGCTCACCGTCAGGAAGCAGGGCGCGGCCAGGTGGCAGTGACAGTCCACCAGCCCCGGCACGGCCGCCGCCATGTCGCGCCCGCCGCTGTCTTCCGCTTCCGGGGCCGGCATGTTGGCCTGGGCGCGGGCGGGAAATGGCGGCGGCGGCGGGGCGGCCGCCATGGCGCGGCGGGGCGGCG